TCCCCCTGCAGAGATCTCCCCCCCCACCAAAAGAAATCCTGCCCAGGGAGCAGGGCACCCTGATTTGCATGATTCCCACAAGGAGGTTGTGAAATCATCTCCCACTCTGGGTGCACCACCAGCCCCAGGGGAGGGTGTCCTCTTCCCCTCTGCTTCCCCCTCGGGGAGCCCAGAGCCAGGATCTCCCCAGAGCCACCCCCAAAACGTGACCTTACGCTACCCTGAGGGTCTTCACCCATGTCTCCCACCTCCACACTCTCCTTCCCTGTCTCCCCCGCTGTTGCCTCAGAGGGTCCGTCCCTGTGGAAGGAGCCAGGGACTGAACTCCCAAATGTTTTTGCAGGACCTGATGGCAGACCTGAAATCTGAGCTGTCAGGCAGCTTGGCCAAGCTGGTGCTCGGGCTCATGCTGACGCCGGCGCAGTACGATGCCAAGCAGCTGCGGAAGGCTGTGGAGGTAACTGCTGCGCCGGGGGGGCGGCTCTGGCGCATAGAGGACAAGGTGGTTTTCTGCTGGGGTTGTACCCACACTGCCAGTGGCCTGGGGCCAAGCGCACCCCAGCTTCACACCCCCCCAGGCTCCTGTCTGCTGTACGGAAGGGAAGCAGAGCAGGAAGCACCAGGGCACAGGCCTGGTTTGCTCTCAAGACCTGCCAGGGGCCCGGTTTGGCCTCTTTGCAGCCCAGCGTGCTCTAGCCAGCTCGTACACAAGCCTCTCGGGGAGGTTTAACTCTGCTTCCCAAAACATCCCCATAGATGCAGTGGGAGCAGTGCCCTGCCAGGCGTGGGCAGCCACACGAGAGCCAGGTAGAGCCAGGGTGGGGGCAAACCAGACACACCAGTTGGGACCCCCCGAGCAGCTCACTTGGACACTTGTGCTAGTTCCTTCCAGCCCCTGGGGCTGTGGACTTTTGGCATGCGGTAGCCCTGGGGTTGGAGCAGACGCTCCTTGCCTGGCACTGTCAGGGCAATGCCACTGTGTCCGCATCCAGCACTGGCACTGGCAGCACCCTGCCATGCTGCTCTCTTCCAGGGGGCTGGCACGGATGAGAGTGTCCTCATCGAAATCATGGCCACCCGGAACAACCAGGAGATCGCAGCCATCAACAAGGCATATCAGGAAGGTACGGCACAGGAGGGACACGGGGAGCACCCGGGTCCTGGGCACGGACCATGTTTAATGCTGTGTGAGCCTGGGTACAATTATCTCCGGGTTGGGCCCACGGATAGGTGCTGTGAATGTCCATTAGTCCTTCCAGGCAAGAGCAGCTCTTCCCCAGGTCCAACACATAGTTAATGAGCAGTAGAAACACGGGATGAGGATGGCGGGAGTCCTGAAATCCATCCTGTGATTTCTCACACCTCCAGACCCTTCCATCTATGTCCCCTTCTCCTTAGGGAACAAGAGCTGCAAGCTCCAGGTTAAATCCCCAGCCCCTTCTCTCCCAGGGAGCCCGTAGTTTTAAACGGACGGCTCTGTGGCTGGTTGCCCCAGCACAACACTGGTCCTGGCCTCTCTCCATGTCACAATGACATGCCCCAGCTCTGCCACCGATGTCTGCTCCCCTGAGAGCTCTTTTGCAATGACCCCTTTCCCTCGGGAGCATCTGGAGCAAGAGGCTGTGCTCATGCCCAGGGAGTCAGAGCTGCTGGGCTGATCCCAGGGCCTGAAAATAGCAGGTGGAGGCATCTGCTTCAGCCACGCGAGGGCTGGAGGGTGGCACCACCAGCCCTGTGGGGATGACAGGCACGACAGGCACTGCTGGGTGGGGTGCAGGGCTCAGCCATCCCCCTTCTCCGCAGCCTACCACAAGCGCCTGGAAGACGACCTGAGCTCTGACACCTCGGGGCATTTCAAGAGGATCCTCGTCTCCCTGGCTCTGGTAAGGGTGGCTCTCTACCTGGGGACTGTCCCCTCCTGGTCATTGGGGGGGTCTGCGAGGACACGACTAAGGAGAAGGCATCACCACCCGGCTGTCAGCACTGCTGGACCCCGTCTGCCACCCCTGGGGCTCTCCTGGGAGATGTGCTCTCCCCAGCTCCATGATTTTTGTGTTGAACCACAGGGCAACCGTGACGAAGGACCAGAGAACCTCTCACAGGCACATGAAGATGCCAAGGTAAGAACCGCGCAGGCAGTGCTGTCACGGGCTGTGTGTAACGAAAATGAGGATGGTGTACCCTGCTCTAGGAATAGCATCCTTGGGGAAGCCAGTGCTGCTGGGCAGGGTCTGTGTCAGCTGCAGGGGCAGATGCCAGGTGAAGTGACACCCTTGGAGGTAAAGCTCCGGATTCCTGATGCCCTGGGCTCTGCCACTGCATCACAGGGAAGCTGCAAACCACGAGAGCAGCCCCGGGGAGTTCCCAACCAGGGGCTGCACCATTTCTAGTGCAGAGCTGCTGCTTTGGGGTCCGGGAGCACACAGCGATGCTGAAATCTGGTACTTGAGCTTCAAAGGCAGCTTTGATGCAGGAGCCACCCACCTTTGCATTGCACAGCCCTAAAGCCGACACTGCTTTTTACCCAGCCAGCATTCAGGGGTGCCATCCCCAGCCCTAAAACCATTCCCTCATCTTTACTGGGCTGTGGTGAGCCCGGAAAGGAGGGGGAAGGCTGAGCGGCCAGAAACAGCGCTGGGGCCCGTTGCCTGGCTCGGCTCATGGCCCACACCCTGCGACCCTCGGGCTGTGCACCTTGGCCTCCTGCTCTTTCAGGCCAAACCCCCCTGAAAGGGGGTGGGAAATGTGGTGCAGGCTCTGCCCTGAGTTCTCGCTTGGCTGTCCTGTCCCAGCACCGCTTGCTCCGACACTTGCCGGCAGCACGCAGAGGTGCAGCTCCCCCCCCAACCGCTCGCTTCGACCTGCTGCAAAGAAAGAGAGAGCCAGGGATGGCAAAGGCAGGGATGAGCCAGCGCGGCTGTATTTTGTCTAACAGCCTGGCAGAGGCGGGCAGGCTGGTGTGAGCCAGCCCGAGGCCAGCCATGGATGTTTCCCAAGGAGCTTTGTGCTGGTAGCCAGGCCCCTGGGGGTGGGAGGGCTTGCTTTGCTTGGCCGGAGCCCACCCCCCTCCCCCCCAGATAGTGCTGTACAGGCCAAACTGGAGGAGGACACAGGTCCTAATATCAGGCCTGCCCATGGGGAAGCAGAGGAGCTGGAGACAGGTCATTTTGGGGGATTTTGCTAGAATTCCTTCCCTTTGTCAGGGAATGACTAAGCACTTTCTGACCCTGTTGTCTTCCTGTCTCTTTCTCTCTACCAGGTCGTTGCTGAGACCCTGGTGAGTGCCCAGGCTTTGGCTCCTCAGGCTTCTGCATGTTTGAGGGGATGCTGGGGTCTCTGGGTGCAGGGCTGGGCCTGGGAGGAGCAGCTCCACATGCTCCTCCGACCACAGGGGCTGGATTTGCTTGCTGGGGGCTCCAGGGTCCTTGCAGGAGGACAGGGTGGCAAGGGGACAGATGCTCTGCATGAGGGTACTTCCCTGCAGCACTGGGCGGGAGGGAAAGCCACCTTCCTCCCTTGGGAGAGCTGGGTACCAATCCTGCCTGCTGCCTGCATGCAAAACCTGGTGTTCCTGGCAGCATGGGATGAGGGGCCAGCTCCCCAAAACTGGGAATTGGGGAAGGGGCGACTTTCTGCCTGAACAGCCTAATGGGCACGATGAGCACAGCCTCGCTGCTGAGCTGCGCAGCAGGGGTGGCAGCCACTTCACCCTGCGGCCCAGGGTGGAGGGTGGCTCCTGTGTCTGGCAGCTCTGAGTTCCCTGTTCAGCACTGGTTACCCCCACTGCACCCTCCCCCAAAGGAAAAAAAGAAGTCTTAATCATGAGCATTGCTAGCTTTTTTCATAAGAACTGGACAAGATCCTTTCCCAGAGGTAGTGTGTGAGTGCGCAGCTGTGCAGCTTCACATCCATGCATTGAAAATGCCTTTTTTGGCCAAAAAATAAGCTGTTTTCCTGCTCCTGAGAGGCCACCCCCTTTGCAAGAGGGTGTTCAGGACTGGCTGCCGCAGGAAGAGTGATTTGACATCTTTGCCGCTCTGCGCTATGCTGCTCCCCCTGACCCCCTCTTCACTCTCCGTTGCTCTCCCAGAAACTGGCCGACGTCTCCAGCAACGACTCCAGCGACTCCCTGGAGACCCGCTTCCTCAGCGTCCTCTGCACCCGCAGCTACCCACACCTCCGCAGAGGTAGGATCGTGTTTCTCCATCGCTGCTGAGCACCTCCCTGTGACACAGGGGCTGTGATTCAGGCTGGATGGGACTCCCGGGCAGCAGGAGGTTGGGGTGGCCCTGTCTCCCCAGCGGTGGGAGGAGATGGCATTTGGGGCGCCTGGCTGAGGTCACCAAAGCCTGCTCTGGTCCCGTCTGGTCCAGAAGTCTGCACAGTTGAGGCTTGGGTCTCCTGGGTGCCTGGGGCTGGGTTGGAGTGGCTCGGCAGTGACCCTCTCCTCTCCCCATCCCCAGTGTTTCAGGAGTTCATCAAAATGACCAACCATGACGTGGAGCACGCCATCAGGAAGCGGATGTCGGGAGACGTGAGGGACGCCTTCTTGGCCATCGGTCAGTGCCTGGCGGGTGCTCCCTCGGGGCAAGGCTCTCCGGAGGGCAGGCAGCCCCTTCGCCTGCCTCTGCCCAGGCAACGTGAGGGCAGATTCCCGCTGCCTTTGGGCAACTCCAGCGGCGTGGGATTTATAGGGCATCCTACGGGGCTGAGCCTGCACCCCTGTACCAAGGAGGGCTTTGCAGCTGACCCAGCGGGTATCAGAGCTCCTCGCTGCAATGTGTCCCCTGGGTGCCGCGAGCCCACTCTCTCTCCCCTCTGTGTGTTGCAGTGCGGAGCGTGAAGAACAAGCCGGCCTTCTTCGCGGACAAGCTCTACAAGTCCATGAAGGTGTGGACCCCTGGGGCTGGGCTGTGGGAGAGCGGCTATGGTGGGCAGACACCCTTCGAGATTCCCTGGTTTAGCCCCAGGGCAGTGATGGGGTTTATCCCCCGGCTGTCCCCGAGGGGGCAGGGCTGAGCTGGATCCAATGCCGCATCAGCTTGCTGGGGTTTGCAGGGGGTAGGCAGGCTCGTGTCCAGCCGGCAGCAAGCCCGGCACGTTCGATACCCCTTTAGGTATTGAGAGGCCACAATAAGGTCTCCCCGGAGCCTTCTTGACCCCAGCTTGCTCAGCCTTTCCTCACAGGAGAGGTGTCCCATCCCTCTGATCATTTCTGTGGCCCCCTCTGGACCCGATCCCCAGCTTGGACTGTGCTGGAGATGCCAGGAGGGTGCCTGGGCCCCTGTCCTGGGGTTTTTTGTTCAAGCTTCCCTTTGCAGGGTGCCGGCACAGATGAGAGGACCCTCACCCGGATCATGATTTCCCGGAGTGAGATCGATTTGCTCAACATCCGGAGCGAGTTCATAGACCTGTTTGACAAATCGCTGCACCACATGATTGAGGTGAGGGGACACGGGTGTCCCTCCCGGGTTTGTCACCTTATCTGGCTGAGCCCTGCAGGGACCCAGGCTGTGAGCGGTGCCATGAGCGGCACAGGGGCTGAGCATCGCCTGGGGAGGGGGAACCGACCCTGTTGTTGGCAGGTCGGGCTGTAGAGGGGATGTGGAGTGGTCATGGCATGGAGCTACACCTTCCCCATGCCCAGCACCTTGAACTGGGCTTCCCCGGGGCAGACATCAGCGGGCGGTCCTCTGATGCGCGTCTCCCTCTCGCAGAAGGACACCTCTGGCGACTACCGCAAGGCTCTGCTGGCCCTGTGCGGGGGGGAGGACTAGGCGGAGGGAGCCCCTTCTTCGTGTCTGAGCCAGCACGCACGCACCCACCGCCTTGATGTCACTGCAGCTTCGGGGACGCGCGCTTCCCCACGGAGAACGACTCGCTTAGCGCTGGAAAGCGGGACCGCGTTGCAAGCGGGCGAGTCTCGGGAGGGGAGCACAGGGGTCTGTCTCGATGGAAAATAATGCATATCCAATCATGCCACTAACCCAGGAATTTACCCAGATGGAGAAGACGATTTTGAATCTCATAAATAAAACTTTCCTGTTGCTGATGCTGGGGCCAAGAGAGTCGATTTATCGGGGCAGGTTTGGGCTGAGGAGTCTTGGTCTCTCCTTACAGGCAAATTCGGGCAGGAGCCTGCCCCAGGGAGGGTGCTGGGATCCCAAAGCCCCTCTGAGCAACACCACAGGGTCCCCTACTGCTGAGAAGGAGTTGGAAATGCAGTTGGGGCTGGCAGCAGCACAGGGATTTCACGGAGAGCTTCACTCCGTGCCTCTGAAAACCCCCGGTGGGGTTCGTGCCGTGGGGATGATGCTTCTATAAACCAGAGATACAAATCAGCCTTGGTGGCATCTCCCCGTCCTCACACATGGTTTCCTGTGCTTTCAAGCTGCTGAAGGAGCAGTTGAAAGGCACATGCCGTAGAGGCTACACCCCCAAACAGTTTATGTTTGCACACACACACACACACACCCCCCAGCGCCCAGGAGAAAAGAACTGGAATTTCCAAAAGTGGGAAATTCCAGCACTTTCAATTGTTTCCAAGTCAGAACAAAAAGTCTTGAATCCCCAAGTCTTCCTTAGAACAGCTGGGTGAGGAAAGCTTCACCTTCAGAATATCAAAGGAGTGTTGGGGCTAATAGCGCAGTGTTATTACAACACTTCAAAACCAGCTGAGGTCGAGAAGCAGCAACATGTAGAGACAAACCAGGGAAGCTGAAACAACTCAGCTGGGTGTTATCCCACTGAAGATTCCCTTGATGCCTTCCTGTAAAACATCCCCTTGTAACAAAATCACCTCTCTTAGGGGGGAAAAAAGCCTGGCTGAAACCTTTTCACCCCCTCCCATAGAGATCTGGGCTCCTCTGCCTTGCTGCTGTGGGGAGGAGGAATGGCCATCCCTGCCCAGGCAGCATCTGGGAGGGCTGAACCCACCCCACCCCACGCCTGCAGCAGCCTACGGGTCATCTGTTCGGCCAGGAACCTCTGGCAAAGGCTTCGAGCAGATGCAGAGGATGTTTTGAAGGGAGGATGTAACCCTGATCTTCATCCGCCTGTCTCTTCCTGCAGCTCTTGGCTCCGCAGCAGAGGTGTGCGGCTGCTGGGGACCCGGGCACAGCACAGCGACTGCAGGGAGCAGGGCCAGCCATGTCCCCGCAGCTGGGAACGCTGCTCCCAGGGACCCGGCTGTGATGTCCGAGGAAGTTTAGGGCTTGGGAAGCAGCCCAGCACCTCTGAGAGAGCTTTGGGGCAGTGGAGGTCTGCTCCTCCAGAGCATGGGGGGAAAGCTGCTTGGCATTGGCACACAACATGTGAGCTGTCATCCTGCCTCCTTACTGCGAAATTATGGCCCTTGGGGTGCGAACAGGGGGATGTATTCCCTGGACACAGGCATAATAAACGCTCCAGTGAAATTTCTGGCTGTATCAGAAGCCTGTGCCGGATGACCGTCACCCACAGCCCAGCTCCCTTGGAGCAGTGGAGGACCAGGAGTGAGACCAGGCAGCCCCTCGGGCCGGTGCCCAGCCTGGATCCGGGTGATGCTGCCACCAGGAAGCCTGGCTGTGACCCCAGCACACAGGTCCCAAGGCCAGGAATTTCCCTGGCACCCACTGCCAGCTGCTTCTGCGATGAGGGCAAGATACCAGGGTTACGCAGTGTTTGGGGACAGGGAGGGAGAGAGAGATGGGCTTTCCTCCTCAGAGCAACTCCTCCTGGAAAGTCCTGCTGCCAAAAAGCCTTCGTCTTGCCCCGGCTCCATAGTCATCCATCTCCGGCAGCAGTTGCTACAGCCGGATCAGGAAGCAGCCAGCAGCATTTCAATCGCTGCAAACATTGAAGCACACTTGATGATAGCCTATTTCAGCATCCCACCCCCACACCACTGGGGTTGGCAGCACATGGTGAGCTGCCCTACCAGGGAGAACCTCGAAGAGCGCGGAGCTGCCCACCCCGAGGACAATGCCAGGAGGGTGACAGCACCCCGGGAAGCACACACATGATCTCTGGGACTCCCTCTGCACCTGGGGCATTTTCTCCCCGTTGCTCACCCTGAGAAGTTGATGAATTTGCAGGCAGCTCCTGTTTGGAGACATGCCCCCGTTCGGTGTCGTGCATTGCAGTAAATGCATCTCCCACTGCCAACCCAATTAAACCCCTGCTGCCTCCCTGCACTGGAGAGCCTGAGGGCTCTGTGCCAGGCCCAGAGAAATGAGATGCTCTGGCTCACAGCAGCCACGGGAAGGAGGAGGAGGTGCTGGGCAGGGGTGTTGCTTTAGGACTCCGAATGAACCAAGAGAAGCCTGGGGGCTGGCAGCATGGATATAGGCTGTGTATCCTGGGACAAGGAGCAGCGGAGTGGAAGAAACCCAGTAAGAAGCACAGAGAAGTGGCAGTCAGAAGGTTACACGTGACCTGTCACCTTGTCGAAGGATTAACCTGCAGTGAAACAAGGAACACTGAGACTAGGAAGGGGAAAGAATAGGGCTTTATACTGAAAGCAGGCAGATTTAGATTGGATATCAGGAAGAAATTCTTCCCGGAGAGGGTGGGGAGGCACTGGGACAGGTTGCCCAGAGAAGCTGTGGATGCCCCATCCCTGGAAGTGTCCAAGGCCAGGCTGGATGAGGCTTGGAGCAGCCTGGTCTAGTGGAAGGTGTCCCTGCCCATGGCAGGGGGGTTGGAACTAGATAAGCTTTAAGGTCCCTTCCATTCCAAACCATTCCATGATTCTATGAATATGTTTGGCCTAAGACAAGCCTGGGGAAGGGAGAACACTTGTGTTTAATGCCCAAATCACTCACTAGCAATTTGTGTTAATTGACAATAAATTAAATAAAAATTCCCCAAGTGAGGTCTGTTCTGCCCATGAAACCCTCTATACATGGGCAGGTCACAGACCCTTCAGACAAAGCAGAGTCACCCCTGTAGCATCCTGGTCTCCAGAGAAAACCCATTTCATAGCACCACTCTCCAGAAACACCTCCACTCCAGCTGCTGGCTCCAGCCAGCCCAATCCGAGGGCAACTGGTGGCAAACCTCATGCCTTGCCTCTGTGATCAACGGGAAGGCAAGCTGTCCAAGGCAAGGGAAGGAAAGGGGAGGACAAAATGATGGGCACAAAGAAGGGGAAGACAGATTGTGAGCAGGGAAGGGCTGGAGGCAGGTCAGCACTGGCCATCCACGCTTCAGCCTTGAGGGCTGCTGCAGAGGAGCTGCCGCCACGGCCTGGAATTCACACACCAGCACCCGGCACACGGCTGTTCTGCGCACTGACCAGCAACACCGGAGGCATGGACTCACTTCCAGGCATCGCCAACGCCAGATTTCACAGGTTGCAACATCCAAAAAACCCCGTGAGCCCTTGTTTGGTGTGCAGAGGGTTGGACCTCTCCCTCTGAGTCAGCTCCGGGGGAGCCGCATCTGGTGCAGACACACACAGGACACTGGTCCTGGTCCTTGGTCCAATGCTGCAACATCAGCGAGCCACTTCCATCCCTCCTCTTGTCCTCCCAATCAGCTGGAGGGGAGAAACCCAGCCTTGGGAGCCAGCAGAGGTTTCTTCTTCAGCTCTTCCTCTTCCCAAGCCAAAGGAGGAAGAAGTAGCCTTGCCCTGACACCCATGTGCCGCTCACAGCCTGCGGAGGAAGCTGAGCTTGCTGGGGCTGCTCTCCCCACAACGGAATCCCTGGAGTTGGCTTTCCAGGATGTGATGACTGCTGAGGAGCCCCTTTCTCAGGCATTGCAGCTGGATGAGGCATGGCCTGTCAGCAGAGGAAGAGAGGAAAATCCCCTCTGTGTCTATTGTTAATCTTGCAAATTTGGTCTCTGAATAATTCAAAGCTTAAGGCACAGAGGAAATCCTTCGAGCATTCCCAGACCCAGTTCCCACAGCTCTTGGCATTTCTGCTGTGGAGCTGCACCAGATCCCACCATAACCCACCCCCTGCTGCCTGTGGAGAGGAGAGGGGGAGGATGGCAAGGCTGTGGAGGAAGGCAGGAGGTGGTGATCTCCTGCGAAGCGGGTGACCCTGAGCCTTGCCCCTCACTCCAGAGACAGGAGAAACCCGGCAAAGCAAAAGCAGCCCGGAATCCCTGGAAAGGCAGCGTGCGAATCCGACCCCTTGCGAAGGCAGGATGTGGCGGGAGGTCTGGGGGAGCAAAATCGCTCCCCAGCGCCTCCCTTCTCCATCCCTCTGCCGACCCCTCGCCCACCCCACGCCTTCCACGCTCCCTCCTTCCCTCTCCCGGCAGCCCACCATCCCAGGCTCTCTCCGCTGCCCTCCATCCCAGAGCCCTCCCATCCTGCCAGGTTAATTCGAGTTCCTGATTTGCATAAGCAGCAGATCGCTGTGTTCTGGAAATCCCCTCCTGCGGCCAGAGCTTCCTCCCTGCTCCCGCAGCGTCACTGTCAGCCCTCAGCTTCCCTCCGCTGCCGGAGCATGGCACCCACCCCATCGGCACACCACGAGCAGCAGCCCCCGCTGCCAAGAGGCCCCCATCGGCAGAGGACCACTTCCGCTCGGGATGAGCACCACTGGACACGCACAAGGCCCACCCTGCTCCCCCCTGAGTGGGGTCACCCCTGATCCGAAACAAGAGGGCAGCCCTGTGCTCCTTCTCACCCCGTTTCCCTCAGCAGGGCTGAAAACAGGGAAGCAGTCGGGGTGCCTTCATGTGAAGCAGCCCCCTCGGGGATGCTGAACCCAACCCCGTGCCAGAAAAACCACACGGCAGGTAAAAGTCTCGGCGATGAACACTTCTGGGGAATCACAGCTGCTGTCAGGCGAGTCTTCTCCCCTGAGAGCACAGCAGGATCGAAGGAATGAGGAAGGACCAACGGGACCGGGAG